GGACTTCACAAAGATCCCTCACGGAGTGGCCGGAGTCCAGGACAGGATGAGCGTTATCTGGGAGAGGGGGGTGGTACGTACACACAAACATGACGACGAGGCATTTCCCACCTGATTGTTCAGAGACTCCATATGCTGTATTTGCAAGTATTTGAAACATTAAGTCAAACAATCAAACATTTTCTCTAGTGATTCCAAACGTAGATCACTCTGTACCTAAAACTTCTTGCACGTTGTAAAGTGATGAAATAATTCCTCTGAAAATAGAACAGGGAACGACATGTGAGAATAATTCTGGAAGTCTGTTTTTTTTTTTTTGTCAAAATGTGACTTTCTGTGAAGCTTGTTTAGTCATGCAGCTGACTTTCATCTGAAGTTTAAAAGAGTGAAACTGGACTTGATGAGTCATCGTCACTGAAAGCTTCAGCCATGATATAAAAACATATCCTGACAGATTTAATGCTGCACCAACTGTATACTGTAATACCTAGAGTTTGACTCTCATTCTTGCAGGTCACAGGAAAAATGGACGAGAATCGCTTTGTGGCCGTGACGAGCTCTAACGCAGCAAAGATCTACAACCTGTACCCACGTAAGGGTCGCATCATTCCTGGAGCTGATGCCGATGTGGTGGTCTGGGATCCAGATGCAACCAGGTAAATGTCGTTACTGGATATTCCTCACACACACACAAAAACGTTCCTCACCCAGTAAACAATCGTTCTGCCGCTGCAGGACCATCTCTGTCAGCACTCAGGTGCAGGGCGGGGACTTCAACCTGTACGAGGGGATGCGCTGCCACGGCGTCCCTCTGGTCACCATCAGCCGAGGACGTCTGGTGTGTGAGAACGGCGTCTTCATGTGCGCCGAAGGATCTGGAAAGTTCTACTCCCAGCGCACGTTCCCTGACTACCTCTACAAGAAGATGGTGCAGAGGGAAAAGGTTTGTTTCTACTTTAATTTGTTGACAACAAACTCACACATCCATAGACACGAACAACAGGACCAGAAATATAAGATGTACCACCTAATTATTAAACGCTTTGTTTTTCAGGCTCAGGCGTATAAAGGTGTAGACAGGGATCCGTACTCTGGTGATGTGGCCAAAGTGGCAACGACGATGAAGAAGGAACTGGGTTTGGGTCCAGTAGACGGAGATGCAGCCAGCAAGGGTGCAAACCGTGCCCACCAGGGGGTCAGAGATCTCCACGAGTCGTCCTTCAGCCTCTCAGGTTGACTGAGCTGCAGTACAACAAGCGCCACACATCATACTGGAATGACCGCTCTGTTGAACTGTCTCTGTGTGTGTGTGTTCTTCCCCAGGGTCCCAGGTTGATGACCACATCCCCAAAAGGTCCTCAGCTCGGATCCTGGCTCCACCTGGTGGTCGCTCCAGTGGTATCTGGTAATCAGCTGAGATGACCCTCAACCGTTCAAGCCTCTGTGTTTTGTATATTTATGAGCAACCAGGAAAACTGCACTGATTTTCCATCACAGATTTTTTTTAAAAGAGAAATGGGAAAATAAATTCCAGCACTGTTCTGTGATTCGACGGATGATCCGCGATTTGCCTAAGCGACTTGTACGCAACGAACTAACGTCTTAATTGGAATGACTGATTGGATGAATTCAAGAGTCAAGGGCTACCTATGAATTTTAATGTTTTTGGGCCAAATTTAAGCTGCAAACATTGGAGTAAGTTCAGCTCAGTTCAAAACAAAACTGTGAAAGATCAAAACCAGTACAGTTTTTGATGGTTCTAAGTGAAGTGACATCGACCGGATTATTTAAAAACGTTAAAACTGGATTCAGTAAAAATATCTATCACTCCCTTATCACACATCCACACAAGCATTCAGTGAACTGTAGACACCATTAGCTTTAGACTGGTATGGAGATGTGTTTGGATTCTATTTGTGATCAAAACCCCAGCCACCGTGCTGCGGCGGGGGGTTCTTCTAACCTCAGTGTTTTTGTTCCCAGTGTATGAACTGTGGTGTGTGGTGATGAAATCCAACTGCTCTGAACACACTTTAATCTTACAGCTTCACACCTGATCCCAGCCGTGGGTCTCTTGATCAAACCTCATATCCTCCCAGTCAGTACTGTAGTTCATCTGCAGACTGAGTGGAGAAAGTACGCCATCTGTGGGCTTTGACCCGAATCAACATCTGTTTGTAGAAGCGCTGATCCTGACGAAATGTGCGTGACTTGTTTTTTTAAAGATTTGGTCAACAGAAGGTGCTATTACCCTAAGGAAAATATTGTCTGCAGATTTAATTTCTTTATTTTATATTTCAATTTTTTTGTAGATTTTAAGCTGTTTCTTTCACTTGCAATAGAGTTAGTCTTTTATGTATATTTTTGTTTTACCTTTCTTAACTATTTATACTGAACCCACAGATCTGCTCTGGTCTGCTGCAAACACCAACACCCTCATTTATCAACATTTGTCAATAACACATAGATCTTCCAGTCAACAACTCTATGTATTCGTTATAATAGTTTCTGTCGTAAGTTGCTCTAATGTGTGAACATCAGTAAAAGTATTAGTACAACACTGTGATAAATAAGGTGTTAGGTGGAGCAGAAAACCATTTTATTTATTTACAATGCTAACCTTTTTTTATATTTTATTGTATATTTAATAACTGTTTTTTTGTAAGATTATTGTGTCTCTACAGAGCAGAAGGATTGAGCTGCACAGGCTGAATAAAAAAAAAAAAAATAGAACCCTCCTCTAACTACAGAGAACCTCATTCCTGCCTCACAGTGTTATATTTCAACATGGTCACTTTGTCTTGCTTGTGTACTATATATTTGATGTTTGTTTGTGTTTTTTTTTTTCTTAGTTAAAACGATAAATGTGCCAATGTGAATCACCCGTGCCACACTGATACCATGCATGAAGAGTAGCACCACCAGGAGACAGAGATGTGATGTCTGTCCTGAACAACCCATGTTCACAACAACAACTGGTGCTGATTTTATATTACTCTAAACCTACAACTATGTAACGTCACTGTTGGATGGGTTTGCTGTTTGAAGGCACTGTAACTGGTCAGTGACTGTGTATGTTTGTAGACTCTTGTGGTGTTGGACAGTGAATCTGTAAGTGGCTGCTTGTTTCTTACCACAAAGCAAAGAATAAAAAATAAAAAAAAATCTTCGGAAAAATGAAACATGAAGGCTCACTGTTGTTTGTATTCAAACCAAGAAATTATGGGACATTATTGCAGACTACTAGATATATAAGGATAGACAATTTAGTTGTTGTCATAAATTACGTTTTTACGTTTACATTTTAATGATAACATACAGCTATAATGTGTTTTTTAAAACATTGAACACACTTCATAGGGACGTTTTTGGCAAAATCTAAGACAGAATAATATTAATCCAATAAATATATTTGTTGAGATTTTATGTACACAAACATATGTGTATTATTTAAAACTTACTTCGGACAAACTAAACAAAACGAGTAATAAACGCCAGCTTCGAAAAATAATCCCTATCGTGCGCCTGAGTCACTGTTGACACTATTCTCCAGAATGGCGGCCCGACAATATCCAGTTTCCTCCGAAACAATTCAAATGACCTGCAACTATCGGGCGCATGCGTATTAGCAACGTTTTACCAGGGGGCGTAGTCTCGCGATCATCAGCCTAACGTCGCCACAGAAAAAACAGCAGCTCATCATCTGAAACAACGGGACCGCTGAGAGCCACTCCGGTGAGTAGTATCAAGTCATGGTTACTTAAAATGACATTTTTATGCCTTAAATCACCGTTTTAATGATTAGTAACATTTATGTAACACATAAGTAGTTGAACTTCCCCGTAGTTTCTCTGCCATTGTGCGTGTGTTTTACCGAAAAGGCCTCCAGAGGGGGGTAACGCTAGTCTTTGACAAAAAGTCTCGTATTCAGTTACGCTTGGGTGTATTTTTCACTCAGCTAGCGCCACCACAGTTGAATAAAATTAGACGGGAAGTTTTAAAACCCAACGTTCGCCAGAGAGAAAGAGAGATATGACGGCTACGGTTAAAGCAGCTTAGCAGACAGCTAACAGCAGCAGCAGCAGCGGTGCAGTAACAGTGTGGTGCTGTCACACACAGTAGCGACCCACACTGTCGCACCGACGTCAGCTGTCATAACACAGGGCAGAGCCGGAGAAACCAGGGAGGAACCGACTGATACCGGCTGTCAAGTTACTGGTTCCTACCCGGGAGAGTTTATGTGTTGCTACGCAATTAAAAACGCTCACAGAGCCAAATAACAAGTAAACCAGCCGTTTTACTGGTTCATTAGTGCGTACACTTCAGATACACTACTGTTAAACTCCCGCAGGGAGATTTAACCAGTTTACACATCAGCAACCGCGGAGAGCAGGGATTTATAAGAGAGTATAACGAATAACAAGCAAAATAAAAACGTTAAAAAACTATTAAAGAGTAAACCATGGCAACAAAATGAAAATAAACAATAATTGACGTCTTATGTATGTATATGTAAAGAGGCATTGCACACTTTAATTGACAGACAGTATAATCACACCGTAAAGTAAATTAAGTAAATGAAAAATAAGTGTGACCTACAATAATTAATTAAAGACTTATACAGAATTTCTATTGGGAGAATATGATTTTACAGGTTTGTGTGGTGGTGTTATTTTGTTGTTAAAAATTGTAATTCTAATATTAAAATGTGTTTTGTATAGAAAATTGAAGTGAAAAACAATATTTTGTTGACTCATAATAATAACTACCTACTACTGTGCTGTAGTATAGGTTACAGTAAGGCAATACAAATACAATACATTCATAGAGAACATTAGATTTGTTATTTCAAAATACAGAAAGTGATACATTTCTGTCTTTAATGCTGATAAACAAGTAAATTAGTAAGAACTTATAGTATATGCTTTAAGCAGACTTGATAATAAAGTAAACATTTATTAGCATTAAAAAGAACATATAGTATATGCTTTAAGCAGACTTGATTTGTTCATGGGTCATTTCATTTTGTGTGTGTTAAACCAAAATGTAAACGCACAAGGTCTTTGATCAAAAAGAATCCTTTAATCCTGAAAGTGACACAGCACGTAGAAACGAAAGAACCAAACAGCCGGTGAAGACCTCCATGGAAGATGAAGCCTTTATATCTAAAGTGATTATGTTTCAGATAACAGGCGCGTTTAAATATTGATGTGATGTAATCAAATGATCAACCGTTCAACTCCTCTCCAGAGAGTCTTAAAGGTAAATCACTCCATGGAGCTCTTCAATTTAACCAAGTCCACTTTGCAGCCTCATGCTGAGTTATAGGGGGCGCTAGAGACAACAAATGGTCAGACTGGCAAATCTGGGGATTTAACCTTCGACCAGACAATTAGCAGTATTTACCAGCATGTCACAGTACTGTATCCCTGCACAGAGGAGGAGATTGTTGGGTAGAACATCCTGCCACATGGTTGTTCTTTGGGTGTTCACGGGAAATGCCTTCCTTTAATCAGATGTTGTTTTATAATTTTTTTTTTTTCCCATCCGTCAGGGATGATAGATTTCTACTGCACTTGTTTCCATGTCACGCCTGCTGGCTTTGTGAACTGTGATAGTTCAAAGCATGTTGGTCTTT